TTTTATTACGACTTAGGGGATTGTCTGTGTTAGCCAAGTGAATATACCCCCAGCACATAGGCTTCCGTCCCGTTACATAACTTGATGTAAAGTAGGCGAAAAAAATTAGTTACCGTCATATTGGTACACATACTCCTGGAGCGCCGAATTTTCAATAGAAAATGAAATGAGCACTTTTTGCTCTGTATTTACTTACCGTATGTGGATTTCAATCTGTGCTGTTCATACTAACGACCGATCGTCTATTTCGAAGGAACTGAAATGCGTTGGGAAGTCCCATAAGTATTAAATTTTAAGAGATTTGATGTTCTTCACATTCTCAGCTATAAAAAGGTCTTATCTTATGCTCTATTTCATATTACTACTGCGCCATCGTAAATCAACTAATATTTGTCCTTGCTGCGTCACAAATTCATAACACGTGTAACAACAAAAGGCACCACGCTTTGTAGGCCGGACTGCTTTTTAAAAGACATAACCCTTATGAAGCGCTGGGTAAATTTATACCAGTTATAACTAGCTTGTACCGGTTTAACTGAATTTCATCAGTTTTTTCTTTCATCTGGTGATATGATGACGTTTTACTAGGAATTCGATGCAACTTGTATGACCTCATAAAGTAGAAAATATCATTTATGGGTGAGCGAGCTATCAAAGTCCCTACGTCACGCATTAAAATATAAAGCAATTTTTTTTGTAATGTGACGTCATTTTATTGCTACGACGTCATATTTTGTTCTGTCAATGTTTTCTTTTGCCAAACCGACATCTCAATAAACGTATGTTGGGTTGGTACCAGTACAGTATCTATCATTCACAATTTAACTTGTTGTTCCCGATTTATTTGAACGGCGAAGGCTCACTTACTTTCACGTTATTCATACGATTTTGGTTAAGTATTTACTGGTTCTGTCGCCCTTATGTACGCCACATTAGGTTTCCATATACTTCAGGGGTGCTTAGAGGGTTCGCAGATAACTTTTCAAGCGTCTTTGTAAGCGCGTCCATCCGTAACCTGTCTATTATGATCACACAATGACAATAAAGATTGTGTACAAATCGGGCGAATCCTATATCAATAGTTTGTTTGCCAATGGAAAGCGTCGTCTTCAATCTGCAAACTGTCTCCGTCAAATGCACGAGCTTTGATTTACGATCGGATTTACAAGTTTGGCAAAAATACTAACGTGTTCTGGTTTATATTCAGCTGTGGAAAGTTCTATGTAGGATACTAGGGTACGGTACCGGTAACTTGACTCTAGTCCAAACGGTGGAGTGTTTCTTCAATTTATGGAATAAGTAGGCTATATATATGCTTGGTGATTATGTTGGAGATAATTGAACCCGAAGGTATAGTAAATTTATTAGTACATTCATTATTTGCATCATATGAAATAGGCAAAGTCGTATGGACAGAAAGTTCTCTCAGTTCTTGCCCTGGTCAAGGTCAAGTAGGGATCTCCAGTCATTCAGTATAATTCTTGAAAATTTGGTTTAAATGCATCCTATTCGCCTATTGAGAGAGGCTCGAGCCATTTGGCAAAAAATCAAACATCGCTTCAAATGATTAACGATGACAAACCATATTATTGCATTGTTATTGTCGAAATTTTCATCTTGGGTGAGCGAGCACGTACTACTTCTTTTATCAATACCTTTCCATCTAAAGTCTGTACGTTTCAAACCTTACTCTAGGTTTTGTTCGCTTTCCTGATTCTATAATCAGTTACTTTTATTTTTGTTTTATCTATTATTTTATCGTCTATTGCTGATTATGGAGTCGAAATAAACTTATATTTATTATATTATTATCTAAATCCGAAAGAATCTGAGTTCGTATAATATCAAAGTAGAAGTGAGCGCATCTACGTTTGGTACATCAGGGAAACTAATAAACAAAACATCAATTTTAGTGTTCTCATGTTCACTTTGCTGGACCATTTTTGAAAGAATTATTTTAATAAAATAATAGTTTCTCTCGTTGTAAATGTTATTCCATATTTGACGGTATTGTCGTCAGTATTCATACCCACGATGTGCAAATATTAACTACGGTATGTGTCGTATCATACGCAAAACGATTGTGTTTAAATACAAGTTTTACGACTTTATTGGAAATTATTACTATCGCATTGATTCGTCATCACATACTTCGCATGCATCAATGTAACTAACAACTGTTATTGTGATGTTTTGTTAATTCCCTTAAATCTGGGAATCACTATGACGTCGTGTTTTTGTCCCGCGAAAACAAAAAAAATCACGTGAATAAATTTTCCAGAATTGTTTTTGAATTCTTTGAAAACAACACGTTTATCAAGCTGGTATTCAGGTCAATTATATTCTATTTGTACGTCCATTCTATCATTGTAGATTATCATACATTATCCAAATGCTCGCTAGCTTAATATGCTTTTGAACTACGGCATCGAATGATCGCAAAAGACTGAGCAATGGGTGCGTTGGTTTGGTTAAGCGTTATAGAATAAAGTTTGTGAAAGTGTATTGCAAGATCTTTCAACCGCTTAATAATAATAGACGCTTTGCAACTCTATCATTTGTGGTTAGTACATACAAGAGTTGACAAATGCAAATGCAGAGAGACAAAAGTAGTTTAGTTAGGTTCGCGATAACTGTGCGTAAATTGCCGTTGCTATTTTTGTTATTCCAAAGTTTCTAATGAATTTCATAATATAATATCCTCCAGTTCGTACTTATTCTCCATACTTTATGCGCAATTGTAATATATTCTTACAATGACGTTTTAGTTGATTCCCTCAGCAATCTTCAATATGCTGTCACTCCTCTTTTTGTCACATTCGTCACAGACGAAGTAAACAAATCCTTCGATCTATTACGTCATAAATTGAAGACGATATATCGCGCGAAATAACAAAACGTGCTTTCAACACTGCAATACGTGTCGATTAAAACCATTTGTATGTCGAGTCCTTAGCAGAAAGCACCTGCTTAAATTTGAAGTCTAATTTAGTACTTGAGACTTGGTATAAACTATAGACCTCGGTGAAGTGGAATTCTTACAAAGTTATTAGCGCTGTGAATGATTTAAATTCAAATCTTAGAAGTGTAGAAATCACCGCTGTTAATTTAACATCGAGTGAATCTCTTCAAAATTAAATTTTATCGAAAATGTTGAGTTAAACTTGTATTGGTTGTTTTACAATGCCTAACGTGCAAATTTAGCATATGAGCATACTTGTGTTTGGCAGAATATTGTTATCCCAACAACTATATATTAATTCTGTCACCGTTTTCACTTTAATTTAAAGTTAGAATGGCGCCGATCGTTGTTTCAAATTATAATTGCACTTATGAGACACTGAAACACATTCATATTGCTATATATATTATATGACATAGCACCATAGGGACATAGTTCAAGAGTCTTTATTGTATAATGTGTCCCTTGAGTAAAATGTTAGGGCGAAAGTTTAAGCTTATTAAAAAAGGAGATAAACTTTGTGCCTTAGTCTGTACATTGTCTTTGTTGTATTTGAAGCTAGAAATAAGTTTTGTTTGTGAAGCTATACTGAGAATAAAAAAACATGAAGCGTTCTATTCGTATGTCATCAATCGGAGGTAACTTAATTTTGTGATCTGTTTTATATCTTATGCTTTGTTCAAAGTTCTGCTTTTGTTAGATAATTGTTTTCCTTGGATAATTGTTTTCTTTTGAATTTTAAAGTAGGTTTCTCAAAGTTTACTTTGTTGTTAACTGGTAAGTGTTATAGAAAAGGTGAAGTAGATCACTTTATCTTTGCCAGATTTGTTTATTTTTATGAGGTTGGTTTTCCAAACTTTTATTGAGCTCTATAGTGCAGCAAAGTCAAGTTTATGTAAATAATTTGGTATGACTATGCAGCATTAGCTTTACTTGGTTAAAGTAATATAGCTTCTGTTGTTAGAATTTTAATCTAATTGCTAGTTAGGTGCAATACTTAATGTACTATACCTGAGGCCAATTTGTTTGATTCCCACATAAAATACCTGGAAATTATGTAGTTTCTGAGTCGCTAATTTATTCTGTCATGTGTGCAAAAAAATAATGAAGAGAATTTTTACAATGAATAAATACCAGTATCAGGCTCTGCTGTCGTGTCTAAAATACATTCAGGAATTATGGATGTGTCCTATAATGACAGAAAGGATGAGATAGAAAACGATATTTTCATGCTGATATGGCTTCCCATACCACAATTGTTAACTATTAAGTTTTTCTTTCTCAAGTAAAATCTTATAATTTGCATCTGATAATGATCTAAAATAGGTTGATTTACCTATGAAATAAAAGGTTCAACAGCGAGGGGCGGGAGGGTTAAATGTAGCTTACTCTTTAGCCTTGGAACCTGTAGTTTTTTCGTTGTTGATTAGGTTATCTTTTGAGGGAATACTTGGTCGGCGGTTGGTGCATTATTAGGAAGATACTTGCTATCTCACCGCTAATTACCGTATGTAGGTTCATATGCTGTAGGGAATAACTGCTTAACTATTCCCATACCCTACATCAGGAATGTGCTATATTATTTGAAGTTGGGCTATATGACCGCTGGGCCACACAAAAATGTGGATGGCAGCCATCGCTTTAGCTTTACAGTAATAAAAGCACAGGGCAAAATCGTGAAAGATTTAATGCAGCAACAAAAGCTAAAAAACATTATGTACTTTTATCCATGTGAGCGCCTTTTTGAACTTGAACTGTCAGATTCAGAATTTTATGCTTGACCAGAGCCACACTAAATGGCTTGGTGGGCCAGATTGGGGCTCGCAGCTCACCTGTTGCACACCCATGCCATGCACTACATACAAGATGCATCAAAAAATGTTTTTCAGAATGTAAAAAATGGTAACAATTTTTGGCCCACCCTTTAAACTGGTAACCAGATAAGACTGCATGATATGATCGAGTCATCTTATTAAGTTACCTTTATCATGAATAAAAATGACAATTCCATATAATTGAGCATTTAATTTACATTCAGATCTTGAATTCAAGAAGAAGCCCGAAGAGCAGTCGGCATCAACACCACCACGATCTTCCTCCCCTATCATAGAAACTGAGATTGTTGCTCCGATTCCGACAGACACGAAGGAAATTGAGGACAATGGGAAAAAAGAGGTGACAGAGGAAAAAGGTGAGGCTGATGTCAAATTATTAAGAGGAGTAAATCGGGGCTGGTGAGTGGGCTTGAAATCACAAGGGCTTGGAACTAAATTTTCCCAGTCCATGTTTTATTTGACTTTATTGAGTTTGTTGCTCATAATGCAATAAAAAATTTCTTCAGCAAGTCTCTAGTTGGTTATCACAGCATGTGACAATCAAATGGAAATGAGTGACTGGCAATTAGATGACTGTCTGTAAAATCACGATTATTTTATTAACATAAATGTTTCTTTCCTTCCCACATCTCTTTTATTCAAGTGCATCGTGCTAAGTGTTAGGACTACGCTAGCCACCTCTGATTACCCTGCTTGGGTTCACAAGTTCGAATCTTGTGGTGGATAATTATGTGCGAGAGGATTGCTGGACTCCTCGTCGCCATAAGGTGGCAAAACCGTTGGTCAGTTACGACTTATCCTCCCATCTTAGGTGGCAAAATTAAACGAGCAATAAATTAAAATTGTTAACTCTATAATAATCATAAATTTCCCGCTTCTTCCAGATAAAGAACCTGTGTATTCCACTGTAAATAAGAAGAAAAAAGTGGAAGAGGAGAAGATAGAGGATAAAGAAGAGAAAGAGGAGGTAGAGGAGAAAAGTGAGGAAATGGTGAAAGTGGAAGAGAGCAAAGAGGAGAGTAAGGAAGGTGAGTTACAAAGAAATTGGTACTGCCGTAGCGTGTGTACCAGGTTAGGGTTAGGCCATAATTTTATTCTGATTTTTCTTATTTTAGTTCCATTACGAGTTCGGGGACTGTCTGTGCTAACCAAGTGAATATACCATACCCCCTGCCCATATGTTTCAGTCCACTTTACACTTCTTGAGCGCCAAGAGATTTATTTTAGCATCTTGTTGTTATTTTGGTTAACTTACGCCTCTTCATCTTCTGGATTTTCTTTGCTTTCTATGACTGGGTTTCTGTCCATTCATCTCCATATTTCATTGGAGTTATTCCATAAATTTTTACCGAACAGTATTATTACAATTTACAACAATCCAATCCTATGTACTGATAAACTGGGTTTAGAAAAACTGGAATCTTCTATATTCAGCACATCCAATCTATTTCGTTCATACCTTTGGTGCCTCAAGTTGAATTAGACCAATTAACTAACAACCCAAGACTCAAACTTAGGAACTTGTCGGCGAACTTAGGAACTTGTAAGGGCGCGGCGGTGTGGCTCAACGGGCTAAGCGTTAGGAATACGCTCGCCACCGCACCTCTAATTACTCTGCGTGGGTTCGCAGGTTCGAATCCCATGTAGGGATGGTTGTGTGCGAGAGGATTGCTGGACTCCTCGCTGTCGTTGGGTGGTTCACGTAACCGCTGGTCGGTTACGGCTTCCTCCACCACCAAGTCCATGCTTCCGAAAACGAACAATATAACTAATCCCATACCCGACTTGGAATGGTAACTGGACGAGAGGCCGTGGTTTGCCATACAGATACGCCGTCTTATCGGCTTTCCTCTCCCCCGGGAAAAATATGTAAATCCTAAATCCTATCCTAACTTGCGTATTAAATAGTTGGTCCAAGTAAGCCTGACTGACAATATCCTTTATTATCAAAACTTGGTCCCTTAAAGGAATCCTTCTCCGCTTACATTTTTACAGATGAAAATGATGCACGAGCAATAGACTTGGATTTACCTGAACTTCCAACCAACGCTAAGAAACTGGAACATGTGACCAAGGTACTTTATTTTGTTTGACTTTTTATCTAATGTTTTCATACCTTCACTTCAAACAAAGCTCTACACATGAAGCTTGTGATAGTGATATCTTACTATTTTTAAAATATTGAAAAATCTATCTAGTGTGGTTTAGCCCATCAGTATATTTTACCTCGAAAATGTTAATATGACAACATTATTATTAGGTTCAAATTTCTCAACGCAAGGCACCCTTTTTATTACTAGCTTTTCACTCTTTTTGTCTGGATTTTTTTTCACAGTGCTACTAGTAGCCTGGTCTGGATGAAAGGCGTTCGAAAATGCCATATAAGAAAGTGTAAACCCAAATCAGCACATTTTACCTCGAAAATGTTAATATGACAACATTATTATTAGGTTCAAATTTCTCAACGCAAGGCACCCTTTTTATTACTAGCTTTTCACTCTTTTTGTCTGGATTTTTTTTCACAGTGCTACTAGTAGCCTGGTCTGGATGAAAGGCGTTCGAAAATGCCATATAAGAAAGTGTAAACCCAAATCAGCACAAGAATTGAGAAATACTCGAACATTATGATTCCTAGATTATACCTAGATTTTTATTACTTTCAGGGTCGACCACGACCAACAAAGAGAGCTGCACCAAAGAAACCTGTGAAGACAGATGTTGATACTGATGTAGGAGTGGATGATTTCTTCACTACTTCGTAAGTAACAGATAGGATTACATATAACGTTAAATCATAACGTTACAATTATTGGAATACTTGGAAAATGAAAATAGCTTAAATAGCTTTAAATCATTGGTTAATTGGTTCCCAAAGTTGATTGGTCGGGGGCCAAAATTACAAATGCAACAATGAATAGAATGAGAAAAATATTTTAAAATTTCTTTTCGCATTTTTGTAATTTATCGGTAAAATTTGCTCAAAGCATGATGAGCTACATGCACTAACTCGGATTTATTTATGTTTCATTATAGTACAGTATAAACAATTAATGCATCATGTTCTTGTTACATTTGAAAATGTACTTGAAGAATAAATTCTAGATAAGTGAAAAATATGCAAAGGTCCAAATGTTTTTTTTTTGATGGCTTCCTCATCTTATGATCAAATCCTAATTGACATATTATTTTATCATTGTAGAGTTCAGAGCACAGATTTTGATAAAGTGCCGACATTGACAGAAGAGAAAGAACTCGCTGAGAAAGAGAATATTAAAAGTAAGAGATTTGTTCACATATGATTATGTATTTAGGGGTTGTTATGTTGATTAGTTAACTTAATCATATAGTGAGCCACACCGTTGCGCTTTGTCACTAGTTCTGGATTTGTAAATTGTTTTTATAAAATCTTTATAATCCGCTATTTTTAGAGGACCAGAGTTATTTCAGTTGACCAACGCCTAGCTAAGCTTTTGTTTTTACAATTTTTCTTTTTATCTGGTTCACATAATAGATGATTGACTATGGAAGTCTAAGGGTAGGGTACTCCCGTAGTGTGTGTACCAGGTTAGGTCATAATTATATTCCGATTTTCCTCATCTTAGTTCTATTACGAGTTCGGGGACTGTCCGTGTTAGCCAAGTGTATATATAGTACCCCTTACCTACAGGTTTCAGTCCCTTGTTGTAAAATAGGCGAACAAATTTAATTACCTCCATATTGGTGAACACATACACTTGAGCGCCAATGATCAAGTGGTTATCTGTTTCCATACCAAACTGTCTCGTAACTGTATAAAAGACCATTATTCAACACTCATTTGGGGCATTTTATTTCATTCGATCTCCCTTCAAAAACTCCCATCTTCCATGTTAAAATCAAAAACTGAAGGGGTTAGGACCAGGACTGGGGAGATGGTTCGAAATCACAATGGCTTTGGCTTCGGAGCTTCATTTTTTCACCTCGTAGCTGAGCTACGGCTCTGGCCATCAAGGTTTATCTGCCCAAATGCAGTTTCATGGAAGCGGGACTCAAAACTATGGTATTCGGGTTTCAAGTTTCAAAATTAAAGTTCAAATATATGAATTCAACTTGAGATTTTAAATTAATAATATGATATGAAGTTTATAACAATCTATATGTTAAAAAGGATCCATCTAACATAGTAAGCTTGGCTCCAGCTTCACTGAAATGTCACCGCTCAATGGCTCCAGCTTCTCCTGGTTGGGGCGCTTTATCTTCTTTCACCTCTTAGAAAGCTCTCCGCTCAATATTAAAATCATGTATCATTTCAGAAACACCGAAACGACCAACAGGAGGGATTGGAATGATGGGAATGCCGATGGTGACACCTGGTATGTTGAAATTGAAGAAAAAACATGTGGAAGAGGATAAAGAGGTGACTGTTGATTTTACATGATTTTTGTCTTCGCAGTGTTGCCCTTCATTTATTGTTCCTGGGTCTGAACAATGCTCCTGATCTTAACCTTGCTTGGCTATGATCTCATTTTACTCAAATTTGGGTACTTCCGTAGTGTGTGTACCAGGTTAGGGTTAGGGCATAAAAAAGTTCCGATTTTACTTCTATTACGAGTTCGGAGACTGTCTGTGTTAGCCAAGTGAATATACCCTCTGCCCATAGGTTTCAGTCCATTTACACAACTTGATGTAAAGTAGGCGAACAAAATTAGTTATCTCCATATGGGTACACACACTTCTGGAGCGCCCAATTTTGAAGTGCCAGAACCTACAAGCGTATGAAGAAATTCGGTATTTAACGAATTCCTCTAATCAGGATAAATTTAGGATGTTTTTAATTATTGGATATCATATACAATGTTTTGAACACAAATATTTCATTTAAATCCTGTTTGGGTAAAAAATTCGGTACTCTTGTAGTATCTGTACCAGTTTAGGGTTAGACCATAATTTTATTCCGATTTTCCTTATTTTTATTCTATTACGAGTTCGGGGAATGTCTGTGTTAGCCAAGTTAATATACCCCCTACCTGTAGGCTTCAGTCCCTTTACACAACTTGATGTAAAAACAAAATTAGTTACCCCCATATTGGTACACATACTTCTGGAGCGCCCAATTTTGAAGTGCCAGAACATACAAGGAGAAGGGTATTGAGAAATTCGGTATATAACGAAATATTGAATTCAGGATGAATACAGAATTTAGGATGTTTTTTTAATTATTGGACATCAAATTTAAAATTTAATTTTCATTATGTATTCAATCAATTATTTATTTTGGTTCTCTGACATAAACAAAACAAAAATTAAACAGACAAAACAAAATGCAGGGATACCTCAAACGCAAATTTCCCATTCAAGTCTCGTTTTTTGAATAAGAAATTGTGTTCACCAGTTTTTATAAAGCAGTGATATTTTTAGGACAAAGAATCAGAATCTTCAAATGACAAATCAGAAGAAAAGAACGGATCCGATGAAGCGGAACAGGCAGAAGAAGTGAAGTCACCGGAACCTGCTGTCAAACGACGACCTCCTGGTGCAAAGGGTTTGCCTGGGATGGGATTCGGGAGTAGTATACTCGGAGAAATGAAATTGAAAAAGTTGAATAAAAGCAAGGTTTGTGAGATTATTTCAAGTCAGTGGTTTTCACCCGGAGTTCAGCATTACCCTAGGGCAGGGCTACTCAACTGGCGAACCGCGGTCCGAATCCGGACTCTTCGGGTATCCGATTCGGACCGCGCATAATCTTTGATTTGGATCCTTAGCTCCACTTTTGAAGTTTCCTTTTATAAAATCACTTTTATAGATTTAAAAATATATATGAAAAGAACTATAACGCCATAACAAACAATCGTGATTATCTAATAATCATTAGTCGGCCGAGGAATTGCGTGTTCAAGGATGCTGAAATATAATTTCTGGAAAGTCCGGACCCAAATATTTTTAAAGTTTTGTATGCGGACCCTCGGTAAAAATAGTTGAGTAGCCCTGCCCTAGGGTTAGAAGGTGCTATATAATTACGGTGATACCTCGGTATTCGAAAGACTCGATACTCAAACTATTCGGTAGTCATTCAAAAAATTCTAGGAAAAAATGCCGCCACACCCGAACGGAAATTCACAAAAAAGGAGTTCCATGCATGAATTTGCTCAAATGTACAGGAAATGATACAAATATTTTTTTAATTTTATTATGTACATATTTAAATAATTATTGTTCTTCGGGTGCACGTTTGTCAATATTTTGATTATTTTAGATTGAATAAGAACGAATTGAAATAATTAGCATTGTTGTTTATGGGAACAGTATTCGGATATTCAAGCAAATCACTAGTCAGATCAAGCATGTGCACATTAGTCACAATTAAATTATACGATATCCTAAATAAACATACTGCGATACTGGTACTGGTATTAGCCCCTGTGAGGGCGCTCCCCACGATTACATTGTCTCTATTTTTCTTTCAAAAATTTCAAATTTATTTCCGACAGAGTCCAGAACCAGCAAACCATGACAAAACAGACGAAGACAAAAACGGAACACATCATTCAGCTCTTCCATTCGGACCAGGAATGTTGAAGAAAACTCATCATGTAACGAGTCCTGGCTCAGAAAAATCGGAAACAAACAATAATAGCAATGATAATAATAATGTATTGAGATCGCCTCCCAACAGATGGAAAAGCAAATCATTTGAAAGATGTAAGTTTGAAAATATTTATCTAGAATCTGTTTTCTTATTTAAATTTCAAAAGGAATATTTCCACCACGTTATGTTGATAATACAGGGTGTCCATAAAGTCCCTTTACAATTTCAATTTTGTTATGAAGTCAGTTCTCAATACATCTTAGCCAGGTTTGTTGTTTTTCAATCAGTATTTTCACTTTATTTAATCAATCTGTGAGGGTCCCAACAATGAATTGTATCGATAAATACCCTTTCCAATTTTAAAAATTTTCAAAGACTTTATGGACACACCAACAGTTGAATATTGTTACCCTGCCCAAGTTACTGATCTGAAAAATGAAAGTGAAAATCCGTAAGCGTATAACTACCGGTATGTGTTTGTCTTTCCTCATTCTCTGCATAAATTTATTTGTATCAATTTATTGATATCATATATTGTTTTGGCTCTCACAGTTGTATTAAATGAAGTAAAAATACTTGAACATGTACTGATTAAAAAACAACAAATCTGACTTCATAACGAAATTGAAATTGTAATTGTAAATGGACTTTATGGACACCTTGTATGTCATTGATTTAGCAGCAAACGAAACCAATGGTGTAACAATGAATGAACATGGTTGGGGCCAGCGTCAAGTCAAATCTATGTGCATTTAGATTTTTTTCTGGATAGTAAAACAAAATTATGAATTTTACAAGAACTTAACACTTTCAGGTTTCATTCTATAATTAATTTGTTGAATCTCTTTTAGGTTTGTATATTTTTTCTACTAATTGTAATTTCTTTTATTCCCAGCTGAAAAGCCAATTGTTCCAGTCAAAAGTAAGTTTATTAGTTATCTGTCATTATTTCTTTGTTATTTTTGTTTTCAATAACTTTGTTTTATTTTTGTTCAATTTTTTTCTTCAGTTTAATTTTATATATTACTCATAACCCAGGTATTGTGACTAACTTCAATTGTCATATCAATTAAAATTGACGAATTATATTAAGTTTGGCTCAAAAAAAATTTTTCCTCAATATGTATTTTAGTACATTCAGGCTTCAGGTCATATTTAGTTTGGAATAAGTCTATTTTCTCGGCTAATAATCTTAATTTTCTCTCAAGACTGAGCAATGATAAAACTTTTTTACTTTAAATTTTCTGCGGTTTCCTTTTTATTCATTGTTTGATTTGATTTTTGTTCAATTTACATTTTGTCATATGCGATTCTGAAATTTTGTTATGTTTCCATTTTTCTTTCATTTTAATTTGGATCATTTTTTTTCATCAATCACAGCAAAGTCACCTCTGATGCCTCCAAAGCCTTCACCTCCTCCTGCCTCAGTTAAACCATCAAGTTTTAAGGGAAACCCCCCTCCCTTACCTAACAAACCAAAACCTGCTGCGTTGAGGCCAGGTAAGCCTAAGAGCTAAATATTTGTTCCGATTCGGTAATAAATCATGATTAAATTTCCATATTTTTCCCATAAAGGAGACGATAAGACGGTTTAATCATATGGCGAATCACCAAACTTATAAGTTATAGCAAATCAAACCAAACCAAACTTGATAGCAAATCTTTGTTATATGCATTTTCCTTATTTGCCTGTTGAAAATGATTTAGTCAGGTTGTTTCATATTTAGTTTCAAATCCAGTTATTACCGCTAAAAGTATGTAATTTTGACTTCCGAATTTGAAATTTTGTTTCTGACTCTGGAAAGTTTAAAAATATGATTCCAATATTAATAAAAATATGCCGAATCCACAATCCTAAAACCAACAGTCAGGAATAAGTACGCAAATTCTCGAGGAACTGAAGTTCCGCCATTTGATTAAGTCCTCTTATGGGGTTTACTCTCCCCAAGATAAATATGAACGTCCTGTCCACCTTCTAAACTGACTTTAAGATTAAAAGAAATCACCAAGACAGTAAACGTAAATTACCCCCTGAATATTGTCAAGTTATCCCTTTGGAGAGAATTCCCCCCCTGTTGATGATATAATTAAGCTCTTATTAACTTTTCTCTCCTCCCAAAGATAGATATGAAAATTCTATCAGTTAAAGATAGGTAGCAGATGTGAATAAATTTATGCTAACTTCTGAAACTGATCACCATTATATTATACTGTACATAGAATCCAATATATTTCGAGGGGCGAGAGCAAGACCAATGTCTGGTTTGTATTTTTATTATGATCACTGACACTGCATGGGTGCATGAACTCTATCAGAAAAGCATGTTACAATCTTTTTAAAATTTTGTTTTCATTCAATTTGGGTGAAACGGATGACGAAACTCTTTCTCTGAACTTACTATAAAATTTAGTTTTGCATTATATCATGAATTTACTATTCAGGACCCCATTTTTAATGGTAATTTTCCAAGATTTTTCTACCCGTTAACCATTAGGTATTTAAACTTTACTTGTTGCTTTTAGAAGTGTTTGCTAGAGATAACCGGTTAACCATTTCCAGCCCTAGGTATAAATAATGCTGCTAGAGTTAATTGGTTAACCATTCTTAGCCTGTGTTAAAAGTAAGGCTGCTAAAGTTAACCGGTTAACCATTTCCAGCCCTAGTTATAAGTAATGCTGTAGTTTGAGTTGTCTTGTGCTAAATCCACCATCAATATTCAACAAATTTACAGAAAAAATAGGGCAATGATGTGAAAAAATTTTGTCAGAATTCTGAACAAGGTCTCGGGTTTTGTCTCACAGTGCACCCAACATTGATCTGTTATTGCTATTTAGTAACAATTATTTTTTCATCGACGCTTTTCTATGGTGGCATGTCTTTGCATGTTGAATGCACTTCATGCAATTTTCACATTGATCAAATAATAATCTCTATTCTAATCTTCTCCAACCTATTCAAAACAATTCATTTGGATTAAAATCGCCTCAAATCTTTTTTATTAAACTCAAAATTAATAACTCCGAAACTCATTTCTCAATGTGACATCTGCTAGTGGTGCAGATTAATGAAATTTGACTGAATTATTGGATTAAATTAATCAACTTCAAGAGAGATTGCAAATTTTTGTCACAGTAAGATTCAAAAATGCCCAGACAGGGCATTGCAGCTCATACTTTCCTTATATTTTGATTGCTAAAACAATATAATAAGTATAAGTTTAGCATAAAAGACGATAAAATAAAATATTTGATAAAAATAAAATAAAGTACCGGTAAGTATCACTGCCTTCTTATCATCAAACCAAGTGATACAAGCATGATTAAAGTCTTTAATTTCATATCAAACAATATTTATTGAACTGAATTTTTACCCCGAATAACTTTGTTTGTGGTTATCATCACAAATTATCATTACCATGAATTCAAGTAATGAAAAGGGTAGTTCAAGTTCGGCTCAAGTCTTTATCACGGTAAAGTCAAGTAGTTAAAAATATTACCTAAACTTAGCCCACTCCTTGTACCTCTGTTAGTGACTGCCAGTGATTTTTCCATCATATTACCAGTTTTTGAAGACATGTTTCAGTGGTACTTAAAAGGTTGGGCGCGCCCTACAAGGTGGCCATAGACAATTTGTTGAGGAGTGTGATGCAAATTAAAAATATTGGTTATATTTGGCCTTATTTTGGATATTTACATTTTAGACCTTTTCATTTATTTCATCATTCACGTTCCATCCACGTATTTTCAACATGTTTTTTGAATAAAACATACTTTCGCCTTACTATCTGTTAATTGTAGTTTATTGTTAGCTGATTATTTTTTGAGGTGGGCGCGGGACTTAATAAATTCTGAAAAAGGGTGCGGCTTAAAAAATTGGAAAACCACTAATATATTTAGTAAAGTCAAATAGTGATCCAAGACTTTGATTCTCTCTTCAATACTAGCAATGCTTCTGCAGCATTTTAAAGAAATGAAAAACTTTTTTCAGAATTCATTGATCCAAAACATGTTCCTTCAAGCGTACATCAACGAGCTGCCTCCTGGGGTAAAAAGAAAGCGGAGGATTCTAAAAAAAGTAAGTTTTCGGGACAAAATATCTTAAATAATGATAAGTCAGGGTCCCTAACACAACGGCTCGGCGGTGTGAGGCATCGTGCTACTCGCTAGGAATACGCTCGCCATCTCACCTCTGATTACCCTGCATGGGTTCGAATCCCATTTGGAGATAATTATGTGCAAGAGGATTGCTGGACTTCTCGTCACCACATGGTGGCTCACATAACCGTTGGTCAGTAACGACTTCCTCCACCATCAAATCCATGCAACTGAAACAAATAACTGGCTAACTAATCCCATACCAGACATGGAATGGTAACCGGAAGAGAAGCCGTAGTTCGCCATCTGATTAGGTCGTCTTATAGGCTTTCCTCTCCCCCCGGGATAAAGTGTCCGGGGTACATGTCCGCTGGCTTTCACGATTACCTGTCACGAGTTTGAGCTGAAGATTTAGTCCGAAGTTTCCGTTATACGAAGTTATTATACCATTATATTATATTATTATACATTATACCTTTTGAACGTGGCAGTCCTAAACTGCTTTTTGTGGTGCATGTCGCATAACCAGTGGCGTATCTACGTAAAATGGCGCCCATGACAAAGTTTAAAAATGCCTTCCTTGATTGTTGACTGAAAATTTTTATTGACTGTTATTGAAATGAGATAATTGAAAGTTATTATTTAAGTAAAACAAATATTTACGATAAACTTTTTGCCTTTATCTCCCCCCCCCCCCCCATATTTTCAAACAACGCCAATGGCCCATGAGCCATGGCTATCATAACCTACCAACTAACCTATTGTTATGCTGATTATGGAGTCGAAATAAACTTATACTTATACCACTGGGCACAACTGTGTCTTGGCCAGCAACATGTTTCTTTTGCACACATTCCGTTTCTGCTTACAATGTTCTTTTATTTATTATGTAGATACTTTTTAATTTCGAGGCAAATAAACATACAAATAACTGATCAACTTTCCAGGTGACAAAAAATGATCAACCCAAGACACTTCCTGTATGGAGCAAGTAAATTGGGCGACCTTTGCTCCCGAAGGTAACCACCAGTGGGCGTCAGAGACAATCCGTCTTTCCAACGAAAAAAACTTCCAGATTTCGCAATCATGTAGCACTTAAAAATATCCAACCAAGTCCTGTCATCAAGTCTCATTTGTGATCTCACTGATGACGTCACATATTCTCCTGACTTCCACAACTCACTGTCTTTCCGAAATTCGAATCGCCACTGTTAAATATCATAGTTGAGTGACGTCATCGGACCATGACGTCATAATGTTTCAATCAAAACAAGCATAGTTTATCCTGACAGCGTAATTCTGTACCACTGCTATTACTGTAACAACCCTTTTTATATTTTCTTTCAAAAAAAAGTGATTTTTGTAAACGAGCATTTTATATTTGCATTGAGTACCAGCATAACCAAGTTTAGTCCTGGCTTAAATCTTGTATTATGTTCGATTTATCTACGGATTATACTTGATCAGTTTTGATTATAAATTATTATTCCAGCACATTTATTCGAAAATTGTCAACTCCTTTTTATTATGAACTTTTTTTTCAAGCACGTTTTATGGGTCTCATGCTAACGGTGATTAATTATATATATTTACAGCGTATGCAGTATATTTGAAATTGCCGATTTTTTTTATTATTTTCTGTTTTAATTTGCTGTATATTTTGCTTTTTCTTTATTCTTACAGGGCTGCTTTTATCTCTTCGCCTAAAGAGGTAAACATGTAAGGGAGGTCACAGTGGGGTTTCAATATGTTCTCTCCAATTAGGCGTTAAGCTATGCTCCTGTATATTGAGATAGATAGATATTCCAGCTAACTCCAATAATTGCAAAAAAATTCTCAGAACTAAAAAGTTGCCGAAAGTTCAAATGGCGTTTAAGTATGACATATACCACACAATTATGGCATCTTTCTCGTGCCATGCAGTCTTCTTGGCGTCAAAGAAATATTTTTCAACTTTGATCATAATAATCATCGTTCTCCATGACATGTAATAAGCGCTCGGGATTGGCGTTTTAAAATAAAATAATTTCCTATTTAATTATTGTGTGGCACCTGTGCCATGCCACAAGGCATTGATGCCATGCCTTATTTTTCTGGCAGTCTGGTCGATTACTGTAATCTAAAAAAAATTCTTCTTTTTTTATCTTGTCTTATTGAACAGAATTATATAGAAAACAATTTAAATATAATTATTATGCATTTTATCAGGCACAAATTTTAATATTGAACTTTTTCAACCCTTGCCTGAAATTGGGACCGTTAGGCCGAGGACCTATCTCTCCTATTAGAGTGGATGGAACGCTATTTCAAGTTTCTTTAAAATGCCTAAAAAAAACCGTCAAGGGCCTTGCTTCTATCGAAATAAATTCCAGTGTATTCGATGTTTACTAGTTAGGGCTACTTCACATTTTACGGTTCTTCCAAAATAGTAGTTCCTAACTTAGTGGAATTTGATAGGCAATGCTCACCGAAAAGGTTTCAATATATAGAGTGTCCACTAAGTCTTAAAATGTTTAAAATTGCAAATGAAGTAAAAATGCTGGAACAATTACTAATTAAAAAATAACCGGGAATATCGGTCGGAGACCGAAGACTTATCGATCGAAACTGCGGTTTCTATTTGTGACTCTATAGTGACACCGCGTGTCCCATCACTAATTAATTAATAACTCGCTGAATATACGACATAATTCATCCAAAAGCAATAGGCTTCCGGTCCGAGATATGATGAATGCACATGCAAAATTTAGAGCGGCTTTCGTGAGATATCGCGTGCATCAAACAGGCATATACCTATCAACATACTTACCGATCAAGATGGTTAAGATATATTGAGAACTGACTTCATAACAAAATATAAATTGTAAAGGGACTTATGGACACCCTGTACATATACATTAGTAACTCCTGTTTAACCAGCCTGTAATAAGGTCTAATTTGAATTTTCTAAACCCTGTTCGTGGAATCGTACAAAAATTTGTAGCCTAGGACGGTTTGGTCAGAGGGAGCTTTGTTCCAATTTTCTCTATTGTCCCCGGCTGGCCTATACTTCGATAACTGCTCGTTCGATATTAAAATTTATGCCTGATTTCTTAATATAATTTCTAATTAGCCCGAATCAAGGTATATTGTGTACTACGGGATTCTTCCTATTCAAATATAAAAAATAATAATAAACACTTGAATTGGTGATGTTGGGTTTTTGTGTGAGGCGAGATGTTTGTTATATTTCAGAAATTCATAAAAGAGAACTTGGAATTATTTGTATTAAAGTTTGTCGTCGGCAGGATATGCACTTCAACCAGCGCAGTTTAGGCTGGTGCCACAGCCCCAGGACTGCCATCAAAATAGGCCCACGGGTGAAACGCAGTATAAAAGGCGCTCCAAAGTGGGTGTACCAATATAAAGGTAATTTTGTTCGCCTATTTACATCAAGTTGGGTAAAGAGACTGAAGCCTATGGGCAAGGGGTATATTCACTTGGCTGACGCAGACAGTCCTGGAACTCGTAATAGAACTAAAATAAGGAAAATCGGAATCAAATTATGGCCTAACCCGGTACGAACACTACGGGAGTACCCTATAAAACACTTTAGGTATCTTTCGGCGAAAACTATGCAGTGTAATAATCTCAAAGTCACCCAGCTTATATTAACAATCGTACAATATGATACAATCGTTTCAGTGTTTGTTTTAGGCGGTTTGTTGGATATTGTGACGACATATTCGCCCTCGTTTATAAGTAAGGAAGAAGAATGTCATTTTAGAGAGTATGAACTAAATTATTCATGGCTTATTCATAAAAATTTTGTTTAAACTTCTGACGACTTTGTCCGATTTACGTTTCATCTTGCCTCCGACAACCTCAAAATCATGACTGATACCATCCGGAGTCTTGAAATTATGACTTTTTAAAGAACTGTCTTTTTCCAACCTTTAAAAAAGTAAATTTCACCCAAAATACGAAGAGAAAAGATAATCACACATTTCAACTGGAGAAAGGAAGTCGCGAGGAACATTATGCTGGTTATCGAGCAGCGACACTCGTGGATCTAATATCTAATTTTAAAATGAGCGAGAAATTTAGTTTCGGAACTACTGTTTTTTTTTGTCGAGAGTATAGTTCATACTTATTATCAACTTGCGTCTAGTATATTAACGCGAATCTATGTGCGAAGACTAGGCAGCTACCTGCGAAGTGTTCTGTTATCTCTCTTGAAACTTGAGAGTCTCACCCGATATTCGAATCTTTAACACAAAGACTTGGCAGACTTCTTCTACACTCCATATATTTATTTCGTTTTGTAAAAAAAAACATTTTTTCAATAATTTGATAAAATAACAATAATACGCTTCTACTAAATCAAAAGATTTGTTCGTGGAACGATAAAATCAAATCATAAGTAATTGGTATAGTATGTAAGCTATATTGCAATTTGCCCTTTTTTAAAAGCTAAGATAGGATGAGAAATCACAAAACGACGCCAGACAACCTGTTGCGACCCCAAGAAAACTTTGCGCGGCAGAGTTTAGGGTGATTTGTTGATATTAGGATTTTCGAGTTCCCATGAAACGAAAATTTGAATTTCAGGAATCGCATTACACGTTTAAATTGATAATAAGTGGGAAATCTAGGGTATGGCGCTTTCGACATGGCCGCAATAAAAGCGAAAAGTTCTAATCGTAAATTGGTTTCAATAAAATAATTTCAAATTATAGGTTATTGCAAATGTGCCCGTTCAGAGGATTCGACGTTGATTGAATGTATTTGAAGGTTAATTAAATATCATTGCAACTTTTCCGCTTCGCTTGAAATTACCATTATTTGGTCAGCAGAATCTGACACCGCTATGCACAGATTTGACTCCAATATCATACATTGATGCACCTTTAGCATTTAGTTACTGATAAAATTACAAGTTATTGCAAATGTGCCCGTGTGCGGATTCAGCGTTGATTAAATATACTTCAATTGCATTTTGGCAGGTCAATTAAAAAATATCATTGCAACTTCCCGTTACGCTTCAAAAGTCAATATTTATAAGGAGGTCGAATGGCGAAAATGACAAAATATCAAACCTTAACTAAAGATAGTATGGGCCTGGCCTAGTTGTAAGAGCAAGGGACTAACTATCTATATATAGATCGCGAGTTTAAGATCTTGATTTGAAATTATCTGCCCAGCGGCTAATTCTGGTCGTGATAAATTGTGTTGGCAATGCAAAACTCAAAAAAAGAGTTTGACTGCTTGCTCAAAGCTTTGTTCGGAGAGTCTCATATGAAAAATCCAGTGCCAGCAGTTAATTAAAAAGTGGAAATAACATGAGAGTAAAAACATACAAAATCGAAATCGCTTAGAATAAAAATATTCACTGGCTAAAATATTACCCCGTAGAGCAGAACATTAACATATTGGCAACATATTTTACGATCACAATTTTGAATACTATACTCTGAGAATTGAGGTGCTGTTCTCGGTGTCTATAATTTAAACTCGAAACAATAATAGAGACTAGTTCTTCTAATATATAACGCTCATTCGCTAGGCATAAAACTGGGCAGATAGGTTCGGGCACAACAAATCACGGAATGGCAAAATTTTTGATATAATGAGAATCACTTTTTTGTAAAGAGTTTTTTGACGGGTGTGGCTAACCCCCTAATTATGGAAACCAAGCTGTGGGCCACGGCCACCCAACGAAAAAGGCGTGGAAGCGATATCGGGGGGGGGGGGGATAATATTGTTTCAACCTTGTGATTATGAGGCTTTGATTCAATAAGGGCTAAACATAGCAAACAAGAAAATAAATATACTAATTCACGAAACGAGATTTTTCAAAAAAAAAATTGGATTAAAATTTCATTTCAAATTCGTAACAAATCGATAAAAATGTGCAAAAACTATTTTATTTTAAACTAACTATAATATTATTAATAATATAATTTAAAAAATAAAGCAAGAAGTAAATAAAAAGTTGTCACACTAAATAAAATTGTATTATTCACGAGGAGAACAACCGTACACAGCAGTGGTTCTCGAACTTTTTAGGCCACGCCCCCTTTTTAGAATTTGTCAAGTCTCACGCCCACCTCAAAAATAACTAGATAACAATGAGCTACGGTAGAAATGCATAAAAATGATTTTTCAGCGCAATCTGCATCCCTAACCCAAACCCTAATAATTCTCTTATTTTGAGCGTTGGCGGAGGTGTTTATATGAATAGATAAGTTCATAACTGGCATGAGGAACACTCAGATGTGAGATATTGCCAGTCAATGAATGAAGAATCTCCCGTAGAATACATCCATCGTTGCCAGATTTTAATCTTCACGTTTGCTTACAACAATTTTGTCCTTCAATTTTTTCTGGCGATATCCCGAGTTGTTTGATCGAATCGGTGTCGACTGTGTCGTCATCTAGTTTGATGTGTCTTGCCAGCATCGCTACTGCGTTGTTCACGTTGCATCCGTCCAATGCACTGGTTTCGACGAAAAGAACTCCGAAGTTCTGAAAATAAGTGAAATATTTTATTGGACACGAAATGTACGAATGAATCATTTTGTTATTATGTTGTTTTTTTTTTTGTTGGTATTTTTCTTCTTGTTGTTACCGTATGAGAAATATCGATTTTCCCACAAATCCTGGATCAAATTATTTTAAAATTTTCAGTCGTTAAAGATTTTATTTTTCTTTATTTCAAAACTTTTAGTTATGTTATGTTACTCGTTTTTCACTTCAAAATTTGTGTGATGACCTCTGGAAAATTAATACAAATTATTCGAAGGGGTTCCTCGACCTCTCTCGTGTTCATCTCTTGCTACGCGAAAGTTGAAAGTTTTTAAACAATACCGGTACTGCAAGAGAATATTTTGTATTATAGGTCTGTGAGGTCAGAGTTTAGAATGTTTTCTTCAGAGTATGAGTCAAAATATTGAATACCCCGGGGTCGGAATTCCATGGTTATAATCGATGTCACGATTTTTGACGCTCCCGAAGTATGTGCACCAAGATGGCGCATAACCTGAATCCTAACCTGGTACACGTACTAAGTTCAGGCTATGCGCTATCTTGGTGCACATACTTCTGGAGGTCCCAATTTTCTACAGAAACTCAAAAGAAAATTGGGTACTTCTGAAGTATGCGCACCAAGATGTCGGACAAACTGAACCCTAACGTGATACACAACCTGAGTTCAGGTTGTGCGCCATCTTGGTGCGCATACTTCAGAGGTCCGAAAATTGAGTTCCTAACAGTCTATTAAAAAAGTTTCGCACACGTCATCATCACCATTGACGATTCACCAATCATCGGAGTGCGGTTATATCTGAGGATGCTGAGTATGACTACTTACAAGCAATGTTCCCTCTAATTTTTTGTAGTATGTGTGCGCAGAAATTTTGGTATGTGCACACTTTTTTGGAAATGACTAATATTTGTGCAAAAACCAATGAAGAAATTTTGGCGTTCTAACCGGGTAATAAGTGGGCCAACAACAAACTTTCTCAACCTGCCAACCGAGCACATTGTTACATTACATCGAAATACTTCTGTGGGCAGCTTATCTATGCGTGTGCGCAGCCTCAGAAAGCTGTGTGCGCGTCACACGCGCACACCTTAGAGGGAACACTGCTTACAAGTATTCGATTCTTATCCGATTCCTAAATTTTCGATTCCGAATCTCGATTCATCGACATATCTTACCGAGAAAACATACCCACTTGAACAATACATACATGAAATCAAACACGAGAGCTTTGTTCAAATATGTGAAAGGACAAGAAGGCCAAAACTAAGCAGTATGGATATTCAATCTGTCACGGTCTAAAAAAATGGAAAAAACAAGAAAACGAACCACTCAGAACCCACAGAGACTTTTGAAATAAATAAACGTAAAAGCCATCTAGCGAACAATACACATATATATTATATATAGAGTGGTGTTTGCGACGTCGCAGCAACTCAGCATAGCAGTAAAGCAGTTTATACATATTTGTGAAAGACTTGCCGTAAAACGTTACACATTGTTTTCGATTTAAGTTTTAACCTTGATAATCGATTCCAATGAATCGGAATCCATTACAGTCGATTCCGCGGAGGATCGATTCTGTAGTCGAATCCAGACTCGATTCCGCCATCCCTATATCTTATAGGCAGAATTCCAATGTGTTAATATGAACAAGTTAATATTTATTACTCCCGCGAGAATATACTCGGTTACATCAGACTGCAATCAGATCCCAGCTTGTCTTATTTCGAATTATAAACTGAAATCGATAATAAAGAACTTTTAAACAATCGGCGACCAATGCCCATAAAAGACATTGCCAAAACCATGTATCACTCAAAGATAGACAACGAAGCAAGTTATATTACTTACTGCGGCTAATTGTGCGCCCTCTTGTGACGAGACAACAGGTCTTCCAGCTAATTCTCGTTCTTCTCTCAGATCGACTTTGTGTCCGCAGATCATGATCGGAGAACCATCGGGTATGACCGGCTGGAATAAAGAGTGATCACAAGTTAATATTTAGAACGCATATGGCCAACCACGCTACCAGTCCATGTCGGGTACGGGATGGATGTTATGACGTTATGTTGTTTTGTTGACATTACCTTTATTCTTAAGGCCTACATGATTACAAACTTCAAAAATCATGAACAATCACCAAATTGTGTTTTAATTGAAGGCAGCAATTTTTTGGTGTAAGTGCGCCGTCAGTTTTTTCCCTGATTTTTTGGCGTCACACGGACAAAAAGTTCGAAAAAAAGTCCAGCTGCGCTAGGTAATCACGCCCACTGGAAATAGCAATATCTCTCTTCTTATTCATTAGAAACGTGGCCTTACCGTGATTGTTTCCATCCAATCTCGTACATTTATGAATGAATGCTGACTGGTGCAATCATACAATAGCAATACACCTTCAGCTCTTCTGAAGTAAGAAGCAGAAATACTTCTGAATCGTTCTTGTCCAGCTGTGTCCCATAGTTGAAGTGATATTGACTTGTCGTGTTCAAGTTGAATTGTTTTGATTTGAAAATCGACTCCTGGTAATGATAACAACATTGTCTTTTTATTAGGACACGTCACCACAAAAAGAAGAAAAATATAGTTTTTATTAGTTTAAGAAAAAATATAGTTTTTATCTCGTGGAGAGGAAAGCCGATAAGGCACCTAAACTAATCATATGGCGAACTACGGTCTCTAGTCCAGTTACAAGCCCATGTCGCATATGGAATTCGTTAGCCAGATATTTGTTTCAGATTGTTTCAAATTCCGACTAGGAAGAGTTGAAAATACTTAGGCTTCAACCACGATATCGATGAAAATACGCCTAACTCCGACTCCACGGCCCGCCCCCGACACACCCCCACACTCACCTAATGTTGACTTTGACAGCCTGTTGAATTCATTCCGACAAACTCTGTAGATGAAACTGGTTTTTCCAACGCCGACATCTCCGCATAGAACTACTTTATACATTCGTTTGTTATGGCCAAGCGTAACGTCAGGAGTTATGACCTGGAATTAAAAAAAAAAAATAGTTAGCGATTAACACTATGCAAAAGTTCAATTAAATTAAATAGCATTTTTGTGTAACTAAAGCTCTTGACTTAAATAACAGAGACAATATTCAGGGTCCATAAAGTCCGTTCACATTTTCAATCTTGGTATGAGGTCAGTTCTAAGTATATAAGTATAGCCCAGAATTGCGCTTAGCAAGTGGAAACACTTTCTTCCTATATTCCTGACAGTCATGACTTGAATTGTAAAAATTAGGAGTATCGTGTCAAATGACATATCTGTCACATAAATGATCATAATTTCAATTGGTCATATTTCTTAGTCTTTGCTTGCAACACTTTTATTAGTGGCTTTTTCCAGCTTTAGTTAGGGGGGCGTTTGGAAATTTTATAAAATCGGCCGACATCGGTTAATTTATTGCGTAATTCATGCCAAACACTTTAACTGGTGTTATCTGAAAAAAGCGCTTTTCAAAGAGCGTCAGTGGCAGTGTTGCGCCTTCTTCGGAATGAAGTGGCGAAGTCTCTCACGATAAATATTGGCGCCCGAAGTATGTGAACCAAGATGGCGGACACCGGAACGTAGTATGTGTACCAGGTTAGGGTTAGGCCATAATTTCAGGTACAAATACAGCGGGAGTCACTTGGCTAGTCCCGTTACTCGTAATAAAACTGAAAATAAAGAAAATCGGAATAAAAATATGACTTAACCCTAACCTGGTACACATACTACATTCCGGTGTCCGCCATCTTGGTTCACATACTTCTGGAGCGCCTGAAAATTATATTAGCTTTCATATAACCTACCTTTCGAGCTGAAGTCGGGGTCATCCGCGGACTCTTACGATTCAGTCTTCCTCTCGAGCTGGAAGAGAGAGTTGAACTTTGCGATATATCCCGTAATTCGTCATCAGTGATGTCAGAACCATTGGTGACGTCATTATCTTCATCACTGAGTGTTTGATAGTCATTTTTAGCTCTTCTATGATAAGAGCGACGTGAACGACGAGAACCGTCAGACATATAACTTACGTTACTGTTGTAACGTCGAGGCCGAGAACGAAGAGAATTACTCGACCGTGATCCCCTTCTGAACGAATCGTCGCCATAATCGGTATCGGAATCATCAAAATCGTCTCGAATTGTTCCGACACCGCTGTCAAATTCGTGGTTTGTAAATCCATTGACTTCTGGTGTTTTTCGACCCGGATCGCATTCAGCAAGAGCATCATTGTCAGGTACGGATGCACGGGATGAACGTCCACTTCGCTGGTAATCATGGCTGTAAAATGAAGTATGCTTAAGATCAGGAGGGTAACCGAAAATTTTCGAAGGGGATCTGAAATTCCTAATTGACAAGTTGAACCGTAAGAGCTACCGGGCATGTATTGATATGTATGATACAGAAATAGTTTATTTTTTATATTTCAAAAAAATTAGACCCTCAAGCTACGTTTCAAGCTACAAAAAATTGAAAAAGTACGATACAGAATTTATTTTTTTTACATTTCAAAGGGGGGTCGCCCTGCGGTCAATATTTCAAATGCCGCAAAATAGCATTCCGAAAACAAAAAAATTAAGTTGAAAATTTATTTCAGAGAAGAAATGTACCTGTTCAGATACTCCATAGGAATCGCACCATTATGTAATCTTGCATATTGATCTGACACTCTCTTGTATTTACTAAAACTACTTTCAAGTGCTTCTCTAAGGCTGTCGTTGGAGTCAAGAAGTTGCCGGTTACTGGAACTGCAAAAATAAATTATTCGATTTAGACTTTAGAGCCAATAGGCATTTCAATACGCAGAAACGTCAATGGCAAACGAGTTTGATTAATGTAATGGCGACCGACGGCCATAATATCGATTGTTACTACAGTAGGATATGATCTACACATTAATCCTATGGGGGGGAGCCTATAAGATGTCTCAATTATATGGCGAACCACGGCCTCTCGTCCGGTTACCAGTCCATATCGGTTATGGGATTAGTTAGCCAGTTATTTGTTTTGAGATGCATGGACTTGATAAACTCTTTCCGTTCACTTGTTACAAACTATCTCTCCATCACTACTTTTATGAAGAAGCGACGCCCAAAGCATGCTAGGAACGAATTAGAAGGTTTTAAAAAATTCCATTCTGTAGGTTAGTCCGAGCTATATCCGGACCACAAGACTCCGACAGAGTTCAGGATAAGAATTTTGATGAAAAAAATCGAGTTATTTCAGAATGGCGCACAGTGGCACTGCTGTGATCAACCTGCCGAACTTGTCTCATTCAACAGTAAAGGCGCTGATAGTGTTGCTCTAATTGCCATCGAACAGGTAATTTGACGCGAAATATTCAAAAGGAACAGCGTATACCAGGGGTCGGCAACCTACGGAGTAATATAATCCATCCCGCAACGCTTAATTGAATTATAGTGACAAAACAGCTGTTTTGACGATTTTATTTTTTAGTAACAGAATTTATTGTAAGACTAAATTATATTATAATCTATAAAATTCATAATCACAATTAGCTAATAATTGAATTATAATAAGACAAATGGCAACCAAACGTAGAAAAAATGATGCTAAATGCAAAGGGTATAGTGGCGCCGGAAATATTGAAATTGAATTTTTTAAGATGCAATGCAATAAAAAATAAATCTATATTCTATTCAAGAGATGTATCACAGCTTGATTCTTATTATAAAATGTATCATCCGTTCGGTTTTCAAACTTTCTAACTTTCGATTTTTTCATTTTCTGAAAATATGTGCGGCCCGCCAATGACTTGCAACCCTTAATTACGTTGCCGACCCCTGGCGTATACGAACAGTATGATGGAGATATTGATTTTGTACAAATGGAAGTAGGCTATTTTGTTTTCGAGTCTAAATCCAGCGATGTAACATTGGAAAACTCTAAATCCTAATCCAACACTTTCAATGCAGAATTTATTTTTAAAGCGGTTGCCAATCTGTTAATAATGTTTTATTTACTTATGTTAATTTCTGGCAACACTGCCTGTTCACTTTATTTTTTGTTATTAGTTCACGCTTCACTAATTTTGTATCGGTTTTCTTTTTATTCTGAAGATTGCAGCATGGTTGGCTAATATATCTGTTCTCCGATCTTATTATATTTAGTTGTATTAAGTGAATTCAATCGATTTAACAATTCTGCTTGACTAACAAGCATCCAAACGTATTCTGACAATCTGATAATCAACTTACTTTAATGTTTCAACTTGTTTGGAATATCTTTCTTTCTCTTCATGAACTCGGCTGACCTCGTCCTCATCTCTGTAAAAAAATATTGTTTCTTTAATCCAGCTGTTCTCAAAGAGTGCGCCACCGCCGCGACTTGCTGAGTGCGTCCCGAAAATTACCAGAATTGGGCAAACATAACTAATATATGATTGAATATTTGAAAATATGTGTTCAGAGCAGCATCGGCACACTTCTCATTGGATAAATAAGTTAAAATGTTATGACGTCATGTTGTTTTGTTGACATTGCCTTTATTTTTACACTTTTTAAAAGGCACAAAATGACTATCAACGATCATAAAATTGAGTTTTATTTTAGGGAGGCAATTTTTTTCGTGTACGTGCGTGCGGTGTGAGATTGTTCCCTGATAAGTTGGCGCCGCGCAAACAAAAAATCTAAGTACCATTCCATTAATCAATTTAGAATGTTAGAAAAAGGGGATTGAGGTCGGGTCTCGGGTGAAACAGGTAGCATAATTTAATTGGGATTGATTAAACTAGCGTAATAATCCGATCTTTGAAAAACCTACTTTTTCCTTGGTTTCACCTAGTGATTTAACCGTAAAAAACTTTTTAGTAAAGATTACACTTGATTGACTCTCGCCCGACTGAAATATCTCCAATCGTGAAATTTTTCATTCCATGAAAGAGAATACTGGATGGATTTGGAATGCATGGAGTTTTCTCAACACCGAAATAATAGACAAGCAAACGCAATCTTTTGATTGTGAGATCAAGTCTATCCAATTTCCGGTACTCCCGTAGTATGTGAACCAAGATGGCGGACACCGGAACGTAGTATGTGTACCAGGTTCGTGTACGGCCATAATTTCAGGCACAAATACTACGGGAGTCACTTGGCTAGTCCGCGAACTCGTAATCGAACTAAAATAGGAAAAAATTGGAATAAAATTATGGGCTAACCCTAACCTGGTACACATACTACATTCTGGTGTCTGCCATCTTGGTTCGCACACTACAGGAGCTTGGACAACATTGGATGAAAATAAACAGGTAAACCAAACAAGCAGTAAATGAGCCATCGTAACTTCATACCTGGCAAACTCTAGTGTCTTCTCTTGGTGAGTGACTTCCATTTCTCTCATTGAATTTTGCAAAAGAATTAAATTCGTCTCTGTTTCTGTAAGTTTTGCCTTCAATTCTGAGTTTTCCTGAAGTGAAACATAACAATTTTAATGTAAAATCTCACGGTAATCGAAATGTATTCAATTTTATAAATGGTATGTGTAGGTGTCCAGGCGGAGCAGTCCAAAAGAAATCTTAAAAACTAGGTATAGAATATACTTCTAATTTCAAGGAATGAGGATTAAAAAAAAATAATAATTCAACCTTTAGAGTTCGTCTGAGCGTCGTCTTGATAACAGCCTACCTTGAAACGAAATTGTTAAGCACAAAAAAATGAAAGTTGTCAAAAGTAGAAGGTGGTCTCACCTGATTAAGTTTTCGGACTTTTTCTCTCATGTTTTCGAGTTCTCGTTCGAAAGGAGACCCGGATGCAAGCTTTTCATCCATCTGTGCAAAAAGAGCGTAGAAATGAAAGCGAAAAATAGTTTTGACAAATTGTCCGTTGGTACAATAAACATAAACTTAACGAACGGAACAATATACCCTAAAACACAATAAATTCCATGATTTTGAAATTAAATGACTTTGTCTCGAGGTACTGTTCCAATACATCTGTAACGATTGGAGTAATTCAATTACTCAATCGATGATTGTGACGTGAAGCCATTAAGCAAAAACGCATATTATTTTGTCACAAACCTGCTTTAATTTCGTAATTGCATTTTGGAGTTGATCGATCTGTTGTTCGTATTGGCTTTTCATTTTGTTACTCTCCTCGTCCGCTCTTTTTCTCTCTTCTTCTCTCACTTTATTCTCCTTGAGGAGGATCTGCGTCTCCATTTCTTCCTCCAGAAGGGAGATTTGTTCACTACTTTGTTTATTAGCTCTGTGATGTAACAAAATGAACTGCATTACACTAAACCCGGTTGCAATTGAATTAACTTTTATTTCCGGATATAGTGGCATATCCGGAGCTATATCCGGACCAAGAAACTCCGACGGTTTTCAATATAAGGACTGTTATAAAATCCCGCAAAAAATCGAGGTATTTCAACACGGCGCACTATGGCTTTGGGATCAAACTATTTCGAATTACATCAACCAGCCGAACCTGTCTCATTCAAAAGTGAAGTCTAATATACCGTGAACAAAAAAGAATTAGGTAAAGTATATAAAGTATCTCTTTACCAAATGTAAAAAAAAAATTGAAATCGACGCGGTAAGGATGTACATATGTGAATAGTTGGAAGATTTGGACTCTATTACTTTTGGTTTCGATCATTCTGAACGCAATTATTTCACATCAAAATCATTAAATATAGTGTAATTTTATACATTTTACATAAAAACAAAGATTTTGAGGTAGAACGATGAATTTGAGTAAAAAAAGCAGCATTCTTAATTATCTGAATTCTCGGCATAAATATTTTCGATATAACATTAATTCCTAATCCCACTAAAACAATACTATGCACATATATAGCCTGCAACCAGTTCGTAATTAGCAAATCCATATAACAGTCTAACCAAAACCTGAGCATAGCAAAGTCTAAATACCATCCTTCCCGGAACTGTATCTGAGCAGTGTGTCTTCTGCTTCACAATTTTGCACTGTGCTGTGGTACAACGGAAAATGTCATTAAGCGCATGTCAAGTATTTCCTTTTAGCTTGTAGAACAGTAATTAATGCTTTCGTGCGATGTGTTAAGACACTTTTATAAAACGAAAAAAACAATGACGATACATAAACATATTCTTGGTGAATTTATTAGTTTAGGTTCAATTTTGCAATTAAACAAGGCTCTAGATGAGCAAATACTGATCTTTGAGTTCATAATAGTTATTTTCGAGAGGACTGAAAGCCCACCGGTTCAACAAACAGCCTTACAGACTTATTACAGGCAGGGTAAGGCAAACAAGATGAGAGAGAAGGTTTTAAACATATAAAGACATCGAGTTAATATCAATGCAGGTCTAATCTGAAAATTTCAATCTCTAAGAGAGACGGAAAGCCGGAAACGCAACAAAAAGCCCGGACGAAACGCAACATCCCTCTTTAAAAATATAACAGAAAACAGAATATTTAACACAAATACCAATTTCCTTTAGGAGTTTGTTCAGACATACACATCTAACGATTTATTGCGCACGAAAATTGCCAATATTTTTTTTGAGGCGATCCAGCACATTCACTCCAAATAGGGCTTCAGACAAACGGTAACTGATACGCACTGAGCTACTAGAAATACAGAAATTTTTCTTGTTCAGCATTGCCTGCTAAATTCATCGCGCCCCGATGATTTGAATCCAAAATGTTGCCAACCAGGGAAACCCATTTGGTATAATATTACTAATATTCTTTACTTCATTATTATTATAATACTTATTTATGCGCACATTAAATATAAGCTACTTGAGCGGTAAAAAAGCGGGAGTGCGACTTGTGCGCAATACTAGCTAAGGATTGAATAAACAAAGTAGTTTTTAAGCACAGTGGGGTGAGATGATAGTTCCGCACGAAACAAGAGGAGGAGTCAACAAAAACGGTTGAGAACCACTGCTCTAACTTACAATGCCTGCCTAGTTATGCCTAACGTTCTAACCGATATCAAGCCGTGGTTGTATGTGAAGGGTACAACTGCGCGTTTTGGACCAGCAAGGTCTTAAAAATATATCATGTTTCTAATGTTTATTTATTATGCCGATGTTGTTACATTTTTAAGCGAATAAAAATACATACAGGGTGTCCTTAAAAGTCTTGCGATTTTTTAAAATTACAAAGGGAATTTATCGATATCATATATTGTTTTGACCCTCACAGATGTATTAAATGAAGTAAAAATACTTGAACAATTACTGATTAAAAAACAAAAAACCTGGGTAAGATATATTGAGAACTGACTTCATGACATAATTAAAATTGTAAAGGGACTTTATGGACACCCTGTACATTAAATACAGACCAGTCCACCGCGTCCTATTATAAAACCTTGATGGACATTATCTAGTAATTACTTATGATATTTACAACCCATTCCTATATATTTCGAAATCGCTTAGAAATTTGAAAGAACTCAGCCCCACGCCCTTATGTTATTACAGACTAATTACCTATGAATTACAATTCAACCAATTCCAATTACGTTCTTTAAACGTACACCGACTTTTTAGTAAATTTGTTCGCTCGGTTTCATACGTTTAAGTGTTCTATTAAATTACGCCCGTGCCTTTAGAAAATATAATGAGTGTTACCATTATTTCAATGTTACAAATTTATATTACTGCCCGTTGCAAGTTGTTTGTGAATCGGAGGGGATTCTTAAATTTCAAATTACCAAGTTGGACCGAAGCGGGTCCGCAAAACTTGACACCCCCAGGTCTTGACCCCCCTAAACCCCCCCCCCCCCCCCCCCCCCCCCTCATTCTAACTTAATTTAAACCCAAGATAAGTTTTATATATATAAAGCAGATCAGAATATTGGTGGTGGAATAAGATAGATAGTATCTTTACTTTTTTTCACAGCAAACATAAATATAGAAAGAATTCTGTCTGTCGATGAGTAATCCCACCTTTTGAAATGTAAATATCCCAAGTACGTCTAAATTGTATTGTACACAAATCTCTGATTACTAGCAATATCTACACTTACTGCGGCATCATTGTATTACACACATACAAATTCACCAGCGCAAAAGTATGATTAGTAGTCAGTCCCGCTAAATCGATTCCAAAAAAATATTCATCTAACATTTCATGACCACCTTGCTATATAAAATATGAAATTTATCATGACTAATGTCTTAATGAAAGTTTTCCTTTATATCTTTCAAAGTAAGTTCAGGGTCACTCAAATAATATGACAACTTTGAAATATTTCCATACCCAGAGCTGTAATTGGGCACTCCAAAAATCTAAGTCTCAAACGTTGCAACATACATGCATCTGAAAACAAATAACTGGCGAACTAATCCCATGCCTGACTTGGACTGGTGACCGTACAAGAGGCTGTGGTTCACCATATGATTACGCGGCCTTATCGGCTTTCCTCTCCCTCGCGTTAAATATGTAAATTCTATCTTCCTATTCTAACAGTTGAATAAAGCACTAATCGATCTGATCTGTCATTTGTGCAACGAAATAAAAAAAAAACGACATTGGTAAAAACAAAACATTATTTCTCATCTAAAATTCAAAGAAGTCGATCGAAGTTCAACGTACAATTCTGTTGTTTGTACAAATATAATTTTTTTAATTCAGGACAACTCAAATAATATGACTACTTTACTTTGACATATTTCTATAACCAGAGGCGCTATTGTACACAAGTTCAATACGCGAATTCTGTTGTTTGTACAAATATCGCGCGTAAAACATGCGCATCGCGACAGGATTCCAGTCAACTAGAACACATTAATCTTTTAAAAGCAAAACGTCTGATACCAGTATTATTGGATAGTTCCACGAAGTGGAACTTTGAATGAAAAAGTTGGAAATTTAACTGGCATTCATAGCGAATCAGAGAGCTCGCATTCGAGAAACAATATCCTGATGATCAGAGCGTCTGGCTCAAAAGTTGATAAACAATAAAATAAAAATTTCTAACTAAATTTTCAGTGCAAACGCGAAAACTATGTTAACGAAATAGGTTAGATCCTGCATCCCATTTCACACAGGTTGTAGTAAATTGTCAATTCTGAAAGTTTCAGGTACTTGTAAAAATATCAGCTTCTCATATATTAGAACCCTTTGTGGAGTGAAAAAGGCAGCTCCCAAATAAGCTACTGCGATTTATATATTAGTATTGTATCAGCAAAAAAAAAAAAATCATTCATCAACTAAATTTATGACAAGATTCGAATTTTTTAGATTCGATACAGCCTACCTCACAGAAAAACTACTTTGATTTACAAATTTATATGTGTTATAATGACATTATAAATATGAGATAACTATATTTATATACAAAATCAGACATATAGAAAGTTTCTTACAAGACTGGAAGTTAGAGATAGCTACCTAATTATTACAACCTGTGTGACTTCTGGTCCAGAGCCTTCTGCAGAGCGATTCGAAACATCACGCGTGAAAACTTAAAGCGAACCTTTAAATGTCTTCGATATCTAGAAATTATAATTTTCAACCACATACTTATAATATAAGGATACCACTACGAGCGATACTACAAGGGTAACGCACCGTGTCCAAGTATCTCGATCGAAAATAAAACATCAATAAAACTTCTTTGTCAATGTCTTAAGCGTTTATTTTCATTCAAAATAAAAATGAAACGATGCGTCGTATTTGGAGCTTACACTTTGATTGACGAATCGAACAAGAGGAATAAAATTTATAATGTTTCAAGTAATTAATTACAGTATTGATTGATCCCAGAAAGGCTATTTTTGCGTTTCCGTGCATAAATCAGGTAATTTGTAAACGCGAATTTGTTTAAAAAATCGTCGTGTGTGATCAACTATGTGGTACTGAATTACGTTTTATATGCAATTTTCTTAAAGCAAAGCCTCGGTCTCCATAACCGAAAGTACTCATCTCAATTTTTAATTGTGGGCGTGGGCCCGGAATTTACGCAAACTCTGTCAGACCTTCCTCAATTTGAACAAACTTTTAGAAAAAGAAAACCTACACATCGATCTATCTTATTATTATCTTATCCAACATTTTTCAGTTCGGACTTTGACTATGATCAAATAATTGCCAATAATAACATTGGACATTGATCCGGTAATGACTAAACTAAAATTCGCAACTCAAACGCGTCATTCATTTAAATAGCAAATACAAAGGCATCGGCAATTTGCCTATCATATCTCACATTAGACGTGAAGCTAAATGACTTATTATACAACCTATTTATATGCGTTTCG